CTCAGCACCTGCTGGCTGGGCAAAGCGGCAATCGGCCGCCACACCAGAGGCGCCCTACACATACCGCGGCCCTACACCATCGCACACAAACTCTACCGCTCCGCGGTGCGAAGAAATACACCTCCCTCACATCAATCCCAAGTGCTGCGTATACGCCTCTGCATCACGCGCACCGTCTAAGCATTACAATGCACATGAAATGCATTCGCTTCTTAGGGCGTTCTTGCCGGGCAAAACAGCGGGCCACCGCAACGCCAGACATTGCGTCGTCTCGCCGCGTCTCTACAGCCCCGCAAAACAATCCCGCAATTCAACAAGCTTCACCCATCTATCGCCAGTAACCCTTTCCCACTGTTCCCTGGCACGCAAACCGGAGACTACACTGCGAGTGTATGCTGCGTGTTCTCAGGACCTACCCGCTAGGCAAAGCAGCAATTGACCGCAACGCCAGACGCGGCATCCACACGCCACGGCCCTAGACGATTGCACACAGACTCCAACGCTCCGCGAAGCGTACAGATACACCTCCCCTAGTTGAATCCCAAATGCTTTATATACGCCTCTGCACCACGCGCATCGTCTACGCATTACACTGCGCATGCACACATTCGCTTCTTTTGTCGTACCGTCTGGGCAAGGCAGCGCGCAATCGCAACGCCAGGCATTGCTTCGCCACCCGCATCCATAGACCTTTGCAAAACAACCATGCAACTCAACGAGCCTTACTTACGCATCCATCGCCAGTACCTCTCAACCAATTTTGCCTATACCCTTCTAGGATAGGCACCCAAACAACGGAGCACACTGCGGATGTATGCTGTTGGTTCACAGTACCTACGCGCTGGGCAAAGCAGCAATCAATCGCAACGACAGAGGCGGCCTACACACACGACGGCCAAACACGACCGCACACAAACCCCACCGCTAGGCGACGCGAACAGATACACCTCCCCCACATCAATTCCAAGTGCTGCGTGTACGCCTCTGCGCCGGGCGCATCTTCTACGCAGTAGACTGCGCATGCACGCATTCGCGTTTTAGGGCGTATGTGCTGGGGAGAACAGCGGGCGACAGCAACATCAGAGGAGGCCTATATGCAGCGTGGCCCCACACGATCGCACACAAACCCGACCACTCCGCTAGCCAGTTGCCACATGCACTGCGCAACTGATCCTAACTGGTGGCCAAGCCTACTAATCTTATGAAGCAAAACTCTGCTAAGTAGGCGCTAACTCCTCCCATTTCTTACTTTGTATATGCATTGTGTCACAAGTTCACTAAGATCGATTGTCATGCCAGATTAGGTTTGCCAGACGCATATCCCAGCGCCACAGGACGTCGCCATTGCCCCAGCAGATGCTAAACAACAGCACGATAGAAGCCAAAAGCAATCTCTCTTGTTCTCACGGTCTAACATGATAGACATGCTCGCATGCAGCGGCACGTCCGCGCCTCCTCTCCGACAAACTGAAGTGTGACAGTTTCCCTAACCGGTCCGAGACAGTGTGTTTGCTTGAACACTGCAGGTGCACTACAAACTAGTCTGATTGATG